CTGAGGATGGGCTGCTGTGAAACAATGAGTACATAGATGCTGAAAATACTTGAGCCAAGGGATTGCCAGTCTCCCAGCTGGAGTTGTGTATGGTCCTTTTTGTGCTGGACTTATAGAGACCCCATGATTAGTAACCTTGCCCTTCTCCAAATTTGTGTTCTCCAGCCAGCATAGGAGTTGAATCCCCTCACATGTGGAGGACACCAGGTTAGGAGAGGCTGTAGGTTGGGCACAGGCAGGCTTCAGTCTTGAGGCACATTTTCTTTTCTTTTCTTTTTACAAATCTGGAACAGTGTCAACACCAGATGGCACCAGAGTTTCCTCAGGCAAGATGATCTTGTTCTTCTGTGTCACCTGGTCCGGACTAGGCAGACCCATCCTGGGACCCCCTAACTCTTCTCAGTTGTATAATTGTCCTTCAGCAATGTCACTATGGTACAGATATTTTCCTAGCTCCAGCTTGTGTGGGGAATCCCCTTCCAGAGGATGCAATGAGAGCACAGACCATGCCCATCCCTTCAAGTTACAAAATATGCAGACTCAGGTGAGGGTGTGCATGCATGCATGTGTGCGTGCGTGCATGAGTGTGTGCACTTGAGCCTCAGTTTGGACAAAGAAGCATGGCTTATCTTGGTGGAGGCGGAGGCTTTAAGACGCACTGAGCTCAACTTCTGGCAGTGGCTTAGAGAAAGCACCGGGGTTCGCCATGCCCTGGGATTCGCCACCACCCTGTTTTCTGCCAGTATTATGGTGGGGAGGGTTGAATGGACTGGGAAAGAGACGAAGGGCAGCAGTGACCCGCCACGGTGCCTGCCTTGGGTACACTGTTTTTGTTCTGTGCTGGTCCCTTGCTGTTTACTTTTCTCTGAGTTATGACTCTGCCTTTGCCTTTGATCTGGCACTTCTTGCTGCCTATTGGCTGGTCCTGCCCTACCTTTGGGGTTCATTCACCTGCCAGTTTTACAACTCATTACAGCCTGGATACAAAAAGAGCTGATCCACAGCCTTTACTGCAGAATATCTGGGGGCCAAAGGATGATCTCCTCTGGGTTCCTGCCCAAAAGCAGACCCACTTGCTTCTCTTTCCCCACCAACACATCAACAGTCCTCTGTGTCTCAGGAAATGAGAATGTGCACTGCAGAAAAGATACTTGCAGATGCGTAGATCAAGCTAGCCGACTCAACCATGTACTACAGAGAGAAGACGCAGGGTACAGATCCAGTGGCCATTCACAGTTACCCAAGTCTCTGGCAAGCCCTTCCTTCTTCCATGTTATCTACAAAAGCAAACCTGTAGCAAATGCATTTATTTTCTCCTGTGGGAATGTATGCAAGTTAACACAACAAAGTTCTGAGTGTGGGATATTTGTTTCCCTTTAGAGATGCTAGCCTATTTTATAAGTCAGGTTGTTTTAATGAGCAAGGCACCAACATTTGATGAGTTAGGTACCAAAGTATACTGTGGGAATGAAATGACACTGTCATTAGGAGTAGCAGTTCGGCTAGTTCACCCTCCTAATTCCTGTAGTTACTCAGGGTGCTTCCAGGTATGGTGTTGAAGGGGCTATTGCCCTGCCCAGTTGATGCAATTTTATGGGGGAGTCAAGATATCATCATCTTCAACTCATAGCCTCCCTGTGTTTTCCCACTTCTTCCTCTGCCTTTTCTCTAAAAATCCATTAAGGGTACAATGCTAAACATGTTTAAACAGAAGAAGGCTTGTTCCAGCCAGTGTGACTCACTAGGGCATGCTGGGAGTGATAGGCCTTTTTTCTGTCTAAATATGCATAGGATTGTGCCTTAAGATACAAAAGTTGCACAGTACCTACTCACTGGTAGCTCTAGGAGCCCTCCATTTGGAATACACTAGGTTTCATATGAAAAGGGCATATTTCTAAGCCTCATGGCTGCCAGAGGTGAGCACTGAAGACACAGTGGGCCTTTCCAAATGTTGGAAGCAGGAGACCACATTTTATTTTTAATGCTTTTCAGCCAAGGGCCAGGGCCATAATATCCTGTTCCAACATAGTGTGTAGGGTGGGGTGGGTTTGTTGCAATGGGGGAGACTTTCAGTATGCTTTTATTGTTAACCAGGAACATTTGTGTCCTTCTTTGCACAGCCTCCAAAATGGAAAAAAAAGTTGCTCATTAAATGGCAAGGCTGTGTTCCAGGTAATGGGATAGATAGCTCTGCCTTTGGGCACATTTATTTTTGTTTTTTAAAAAACAAAAAGGCTTCCTGTACTTGCAAATTGCTCATGGATCATGGGCGCCTATTGGCTAGTGACCATAACGCAACAAGCAATGAATGACATCTGCTGTGCTTATGCTATTTCATGCTGAGTTTCCTCAGCTCTGCTTTCCCACCATGGGAAAGTAGTCCTTTCCTGTTCTGTACTCAGAACTCCTAAGGTTGTAGGGAGGACTTACAATAGCACAGGCCCAACCAACATGGTCATTCATCACCAGTCATGTTATGGTCACTAAGCAATAGGATGCTCATGATCCAGACGCCATTGAGTTGCAGCTGCACATGATAAAAGAGGAGAGGGGATCGCTTTTTTTTTATTTACATTGTACTGTGTTTTTCAGTGCTGAGAAAATGCAATATTTCTGCAACAGAAACCCTTCTCTGAAGGAACATGTTTGGATTCCTTGCACTTATGCAAAACAACAACAAGCTTGTTATATGGGAAAGGCTTTGATATGCAGGAAGAGCTTTCAATAGCTATAGTGAGACATCTTTTGATTCCTTCATTCATTATCATACCCTGGGGAGTCTGTGATTGTGCTCTATGAGACCCTGTCTCTTTTGCCCTCTCTAATAGTATCTTTTTTGCCATCAGGGTAGTTGTATTTGTTGCATGTGGTCCTGCACTGTTCTATACCACTTCTGCTGATGTGAGATAGTCTCCTTCGGAATAGATCAGATGTGATGGATTTATTAGATCAAAGAGCAGTTGTATAACATGTATCATTTGCATGATGCATTTTACACATGACACACTCACAGGGCCTTTTCTTCTAAAACTTTGTCTGCTGTAAAGTTGGGTTTCTACTTGTTGCTGTCTGCTTTGGATCAGGTGAAATAGGCACTCTTCCATCTTGGTGAGGGTGACTTATGTGAAGTCACCTTGGTGTCAAAAAGACAAAGTCTTTTGTGGGGAAAAGCAAAGTCTGCATCATGAAGTAGATGGTTTGAGACTTCTGTAGGATGTTGTTGTTCCGGCATGGAACTTTCCTAGGATTTTGATGTTTGAATAGAACTAGATGGTATCTGTATTTAAAGAAGTCTTTCTCTACCACCCCCTCTAGGGTGATAGCCTTAAAGCTCAGCAGCTCAGCCTGCTTTGTACTGCACAAAGTCCCCAGTTCAGTCCCTGGCATCTCTAGTTCAAAGGAACTTCTGGCAGCAGAGCTGGGAAAGCTCAGCTTTGGGAAGCCATGGCCAGTCTAAACAGACAGTTCTGGGCTAGTCTGGAAGAATGGCATGACCCAGTATAAGGCAGTTTTGTTACGTTCTTTCCAGAGAGAAGCCAGAGGCTCGCACCATCCCCAAATACTTCAGAAAGGATTTGGGATCATTTGGGAGTCACATTAGGGCCGATGTAGCATTCCTCTCTTGCTCCTGTCCTCAGCTGCGTTGTCCCTTGTACTATTAGCCAGGGGCTTTGTGCCACTCCTACGGCCTGGAGTGGGAGGAGAGGGTGACAGGCAATGCAATGCCTTTGGACTCCTGGCCTTGAGCACTTCAGTGGGTGAATGCCTGGAGAGGAACTACTCTGTTATCTGTTACACTTTGTTCTCCCGACTGTTTGGGTGTGGAGCGGCACAGTGCGTAGAAACCTTTATCTCTGGAAACCTTTGAAACACAGGCAGCAGGCCAGGCTCTAGGCTCACTCTGTTCAGGGGTGGGGTAGGTCTTGTGCCCCTCTCCCTGTGCCATGACACAGTGGAGCACCTATCTTCATCCTTTTGCCATGCTCCTAATGAAAAAAAGATTGGGTGGGGGCTATGAATGGCCTCATAGCACCTCCTAATGTATGTGTGTCTAGTGTGCATGTCTAATAACTTGAAAGCCCTACTGCATACATGAATTCCCCTATTTAGAACTGGAGAAGTTGGGTAGTTCCGAAGGAGCTCATCTTTTCTGTCCCATTCCGCTCTAGCTTCTGTATGGGGAATAAGAGACCCTTTGGGGACCTACAGCAAGAGCCGTTCCTGGCCATAGATGTTCCAGACACTGATTGCTTAGCAGTAAGAGCCATTGGAGCAGAGGTGCCAAACTCAGCTGGGATCCCAGTTCAGACTGCATGGATCCCCAGCCCAGCCCAGCCCTTCAGGGTTCCCAGGTGGCCACATCACCTTTCACTGACCCCACCTCCTTTCTTCCAGTCGCCAATTGTTTAGTGATTTCTTGGCTTTTGCACTAGTTACAATGCCTCTCCTTAAGGTTTAATGACAGGCAGTAGGAGCTTTAAGCTAGGATGTGCTGGCATTTTGGTCTCACCCCTTTTGCCTTTGCCCCCACCCTACACTGGAAAACAGCCCCTGAATGTTTCTCCAAAATGGAATTCGATCCTTGGGGGAAAGAGATTCTGCACCCTGTGTTAGAGGAATGAACACAGGAAGTTGCCATATGCCATAATTTGTCCATCTTCGCCTATGTTGTTTACAGGGAATGGTAACCACTCTCCATGGCTCTGGCAGAGATTGGTCTTCCCCACAACCTGATTGAACTTTCTGCATGCAGAGCAGCTCCTCTACCCTGACCAATGATCTCTTCCTGATTATGGTTTTGAGGAATGCAAAGCAGCCACTGAGGTGCCTTTCCTAATGTAGGCATTGTTGATAAAACCACTATAGAGAACCAACAACCTTCCTGTAGTTGCTGGTGTAGTGAGTAAAGGGGTACTGAGTTGCTCTTGTTTCTTGTGTTATATTGCCTGGTTTATAGTTTCTGCATGGTCACTGTTTAAAGCTCCCCCTTTGCTTTGCAGACTTTGCCCCAAGCCTGCTGCCTTGGAGATGGACACCTATTCACATCTAACCTGAAAGAGCTCTACATGGCAGTCACCCGGGAGCAGGCCAGAGTAGCTTGCAAACGGCACCGAGAAGGTGAGTGAATCAAGGGTGGGAAGGATGTTTCTACTTCCCTTCCTTTCACATGCTGCAAAGATGAAAATACTGCTAATTTTTATTGCATTGCATTTATATCTCACACTTTCTCCTTTTGCAAGGGACTCAAGGTGGCTTATATAGCTCTCCTGCACTCCATTTTTATTCTCACAACGACAACCCTGTGAGTAGGTTAGGCTGAGAGAGAGTGATTGGCCCAAAGTCACCCAGTGAGTTTCATCACCAAGTGGATACTAAAACCTGCATCTCCCAGATCCCCAAGCCACTACTCTCACCACCATACCATATTGGCTCTCCAAATGATTACAGACAGAAGAATAATTTTAATTCTAATATTTGTGGACTGCCTCAGGATAGCCATCCCATTCCCTGACATCTTTGATTTGGCTGTTAAACCCTGCTGCCTCCAAAATCCCCCCTCAATTCAAATGGAGACTGAAGCCAAGAAATTAGAAGACTGGGACCTGGAAGGGCAGAAGAAACTAGAAAAGATCATCAAGTATAAGCATTTCTCACTGGCGATCAAGGCCAAGATCATCCACACTATTGTATTCCTGATCACTATATATGGATATGAAAGCTGGACAGTGAAGAAAGCTCACAGGAAGAAAACCGATGCATTTGAAACATGGTGCTGGAGGAGAGCTTTGCAAACCCCTTGGACTGACGGACAGGCAAACACGTTTGTCTTAGATCAAATAAAGCCAGAATTTCCCTGGGAGCAAAAATGGCAAAACTGAAACTGTCATACATGAGAAGGCAAGACTCACTATAGAAGACACTAATGCTAAGGAAAGTTGAAGACAAGAAGAAGAAGACCAAATACGTGATCCATTGATTCCATTAAAAAGCCACAGCCTTGAGTTTAGAACAGCTGAGCAGGGCTATGAAGGGCAAGACATTTTGGAGGACGTTAACTCATAGGGTCACAAGTTAGAGATGACTAATGGCACATTACAACAACAACCTCCAAAATTTATGTAGCTCCCCCAAAAGAGTCAAACAGCCTTTTGATGTCTCTGTTATCTTGTATATTCTCCACTTGCTGTCGTCTGCCATTTCTTCTTACAATTTCTGCTCATCTGTTGACCAATAATGTGGGCAATTTACAAAAGGTTTAAACACTTTAAAATATAATATAAAACATAATATACAAATAGCTTACATATAAAAACAATGTAAGCTAACAACAAAAATCCCAAGGCCAGTTAAAGCCTCATCATACATTGTCTAATGCTTGAAAATAGAGAAAGGTATTAACTGGCACCATAAGGATGGCAATGGTTGTGCCAGTTAATCCTTAATGGGAGAGTGCTTCATAACTGGGGAGCCACTGTTGGAAAGGACTTCTTCCTTGTTGCTATTCCCAAACCTTGTTTGGAGTGCCTGAAGGATTGGTACTGTCATTTATGCTTTGGTGGCTTCCATCTTAGATGGCTACAATGCACCCCATGTGGTGCTGCCTTTGAAGATACTTCAAACTTCAACTAGTACAGAATGCAGCTGCTAGCCTGTGGATGGGCATAGATCAATACTGTCACATATCACTGATTTGCATCCTCACAGGCCCATTTCAGCATGCTGTTGTTGATCTCTGAAGCCCTGAAATGCTTGGGTCTTGATTATTTCTGGGAATGTCTGCTTCTCTCTCTCTGCTCTCCTGACACCTGAAGGCTTGGTGCCTTTTCATTGGCAGCTGCAGTGCCCTGGAGCTCTTCCAGAAGAGATCTGTGCATCTTTCTCCCTGTTGTCCTGCACATTCAAATTTGGCAGAGTCACTTCCAGCCATTTCCATGTTAAAGTATTAGATTCCTGAAAGTGCTCTAGGATAAAGATTAGAAATGCATGAAGATTTTGTCCATCTGAATAGCACTTCCTGAACTAATGAGCCTATTAGAATGTCATTATCCTTCCTATTCTTCATTTCTTTCATTTGTACAATGCCATTTTTGCTTTTAAAATATACTGATTATAAGTGTTTATAAAATGCATGTTTTATGATAAAGTGTGTATTTAATCATAACATTTGTATAACATATGTGTTTATGACAAAATATGTATTTTAGAATAAAGAGCATATGGGTATGGATTTTCACTTAGTTTTTTATTTAAAAAATACAGACTAACGTTAGTCTGACGGTGCTGCTGCTCAATGCCAGGTCGGTCAATAATAAATCTTCCCTCATCCATGACTTGATTGTGGATGAGGGGGCCGACCTGGCTTGCATAACGGAGACCTGGGCGGGAGAGGGAGGGGATGTTGCCCTCTCCCAATTGTGCCTGCCCGGGTATCTGGTTCAACACTGTTCACTCCCAGAAGGGAGGGGAGGGGGAGTCGCGTTGGTTTACAGAGCCTCCATCTCTCTCACGGGTCTTCCGGTCCCTTTGAGACCAGGGCTGGAGCGCCTCTACTTGGTGTTGGGCGAACGAGACAGATTGGGGATTCTATTGGTGTACCGTGCACCTTTCTGCCTAGCAGTCTCCCTATCTGAGCTGACAGAGACCGTCTCGGACCTGGTGTTGAGGACCCCCAGGATGTTGGTCCTGGGGGACTTCAATCTCCATGCCGAGTCTGGACTGACCGGGGCAGCTCAGGACTTCATGGCCTCTATGACGGCCATGGGCCTGTCTCAACACGTCATTGGCCCGACCCATGAACGTGGACACACTCTGGACCTGGTATTCACGACGGGGCAGGAAGAGGATGACCTGAGGGTGAAGAACTTATGTTTGACTCCCCTGTCATGGTCAGATCACCTCCTGGTGAGGTTTGTGCTCGAGAGCGGCCTCTCCCTCTATAAGAGTGCGGACCCGATTGTATGGGCCCGCCCCCGGAGCCGGATGGATCCGGATGGATTCCTGAAGGCCCTGGGGGAGTTTCCAGCTGACAAGACTGATGCTTCTGTCGAGGCTCTGGTCGAACTGTGGAACGGAGAGATGACCAGGGCTGTGGACACGATCGCTCCTAAGCGTCCTCTCCCACCGGGCAGAGTCCGCTCTTCCCCTTGGTATACACCTGAATTGCGGGCGATGAAGCGAGTTGGGAGACGGCTAGAGCGTAGGTGGAGGAAATCACGGGATGAATCTGACCAAACACACTTGAGAGCCCACTATCGGGCCTATGCTGTGGCGGTGAAGGCGGCGAAAAAGAAGTTTTTTTCCGCTTCCATTGCCTCCTCACAATGCCGTCCGGCAGAGCTTTTTCGAGTGGTGCAAGGCTTGGTTCGCCTGGGTCCTAAGGAAGATCCGATGCCACCCTCAAAGGCCCGCTGTGACGACTTTGCTAGGCATTTCAGGGAGAAAATCGCTCAGATTCGTCACGAGCTGGACTCCACTAATGAATCAGAGGTCTCTGAGGAGTCGCCAATGCCACCGTCTGGTCCAAAACTATTGGAGGAATTTCAATTATTGCGGCCCAATGATGTGGACAAGGTGCTTGGAAGAGTACGTCCCACCACTTGCCTATTGGATCCTTGCCCGTCTTGGTTAATAAATAACTCCAAGCACGGGATTGGGACCTGGATCTTGGAAGTGGTTAACGCTTCTCTGAGAGAGGGTTGAGTGCCTGCCCCTTTAAAGGAGGCGGTAATACGACCGGTCCTGAAGAAAGCGTCACTGGATCCAGAGATGGCCACTAACTATAGACCTGTGGCCAACATCCCGTTTCTGGGCAAGGTGTTGGAGCGAGTGGTGGCGGGACAACTCCAAGCACTCTTGGATGAAACTGATTATCTGGATCCTTTTCAGTCCGGCTTCAGACCCGGGTACAGTACTGAATCTGCCTTGGTCGCCCTGTACGACGACCTGTGCAGGGAGAAGGACAGGGGGAGTACATCCCTGTTGGTTCTTCTGGACTTCTCGGCGGCTTTCGATACCATTGACCATGATATCCTTCTGGATAGACTTGCAGGATTGGGGGTTGGAGGCACTGCTTTGCAGTGGTTCCGCTCCTATCTCAACAGTCGATTCCAGAAGGTAGTGCTGGGGGACCATGTCTCTACGTCATGGCAGCTATGCCATGGAGTACCACAGGGCTCCATTCTATCCCCTCTGCTATTTAACATCTATATGAAACCGCTGGGAGAGGTCATCAGGAGGTGTGGGCTGCGGAATCATCAATACGCTGATGATACCCAGCTTTACCTCTCGTTCTCCACTAATCCAGGTGAGGCAGTGGCTGTGCTGAACTGGTGCTTGGCCGAGGTAAGGGAATGGATGAGGGCCAATAAACTGAAACTCAACCCAGACAAGACGGAGGTCCTGTTGGTTGGCGGATCGGGTTTCGGAGAGGGTGGATTTGACCTGGTCCTGAATGGTGCAACACTCCCTCTTAGGGATAAGGTCCGCAGCTTAGGAGTACTCCTTGACCCGGAGCTTTCTTTGGAAGCTCAGGTGACAGTGGTGGCAAGGAACGCCTTCCTTCAGCTTCGGCTGATTAATCAGCTGCGCCCCTACCTGGAGTACGACTGCCTGGCGACGGTGACACACGCGCTGGTGACTTCCCGCCTAGACTTCTGTAACGCGCTTTACGTGGGGCTTCCCCTGAAGACAGTCCGAACACTTCAATTGGTGCAAAATAGAGCTGCCAGGTTGCTGACGGGGACGGGGCGTTATGCTCACATGACTCCAGTCTTCCGTCAGCTTCACTGGCTTCCCATTGAAGCCCGGGCCCAATTCAAGGTGTTGATTATGACCTATAAAGCCCTAAACGGCTTGGGTCCTGGCTACCTGAACGAGCGCTTATGTCCGTATATGCCCGACCGCCCTTTGAGATCTGCGGGAGAGTCCCTTCTCCGGGAACCCTCCATGAAAGAAATTAGGAGAGTAAGTACCCGGAGGAGGGCTTTCTCTGCGGTGGCGCCCAACCTATGGAATTCACTCCCCAAAGAGGTCCGCCTGGCACCGTCGTTACTGGTTTTTCAGCGCCAGGTAAAGACCTTTTTATTTAAACATCATTTCAATTGTTAAAACATATGATCTGGCCAGGGCAACTTCTTCTTCCTTCTCTTTCTCCTCCTATATTTTTATTTTGTACTGATAATTTTAATTTTATATTTGTAAATCAATGTATTTTTTGTATTTTTATATTTAATGGTAATTTATTATGTACTATTGTATTTCAATGTATTTTATCATGTTGTAAGCTGCCCCGAGGTTTCGGCAAGGGGCGGCATAGAAATGTTATAATAATAACAACAACAACAACAACAACAACAACAACAACAACAACGTTGATGCTGGATGGAATGGCCATACTTGCAGAATTGATGTGGATTTGAAATTAGTCACATTCATTCATAGGATGTGTAACGCTTGAATTAAGATAGAGTTATGAGTTGCTTGTTTCACTGCCCTGAAAATTACTTCTGCCTAGAACAGTTGACCTCTACCTGCATTAAAATTCCCTTCTTTCTTGAGTCACTATTGTTTTTCCATTGTAAATCAGTACACCCTAAGGGTTTAGACTTCTCTCATTCTCCATCTCAAAAATCAGCAGTAGGCAACCTAGTGCCCTACAGATGTTCTGTACAATTTATACAAACCCCAGCTAGCATGATCAATGGTCAGGGATTATGTGAGTTGTAGTCCAAGACATCTGGAGATTACCGGATGTGTACCCCTGGTGTGCATATTTATCCAGTTATCTGGATGAGATCCACTTTAAAAAATTACCTGTATTTGTTTTATATCCCACGATCCTATCCCACCATATATGCACAGGCCTGCATGTTAGTGCTGTACGTTAGTGCTGATCATGTTCCTTCCTTTTGTTGTTGCAGCATCAGGAGATTCTGGGACCCATGAACATCCTGTCTCTCAAGACCTTGCCAAAGGAGCTGTGGATTTGCCAACTGAGGAGGAGAGGACAGAAAGCCAGGCAGACACAATGGTGAGGGGAAACCCAGAGCATACCCTAGGAATGGCTCAGGGAATAGTGAGCTTGATGAAAGCATGGCTGACCATGCCATAAGTGTGGATGGGACAGAGGATTCTGATGCATTTACCTGCCCATACAGCTCTCTGTTGCCTGTAGTGATGTACCAGCCCCACCAGGATGCATGGCTCAGAGATGCCTGCACAAATGTTGCCAACCTCCAACTAGGCATGGACAGATGTATGTCAACAATCTGGGAGTCAGGGGGAAGCACAAAGGAACACAGGGTCCTGTTCCTCACTTCTTATTAAATACCAGCAGTGCATCGTGAGTGCTGCTGAGAGAAGATCCTTGGAGAAACTGTAAACCGTCTAGGTTGACTGGACAAGACAGGAAAAAAGGGCTCAGCAAGATATGTTTATTTAAGCCAAGCCAACTTATTGTGAGGAAGGGGTAGAGAAGAACTCCTTAGCATCCAAAGGTGGTGGAACATTGAGAACTGCTGGTCCATCTAACCCAGCACTGCCTGCTCTGACCAGCAGTAGCTTCCCTGAGTCTCAGGCTGAGAGAGGCCTTCCCATCATCTTCTGCCTAGTCCTTTGCATTGGAGGTGCTAGGGACTGAAGCTGGGACCTTCTGCTTATGAAGCAAGTGCTATTCCTCTGAGTTTCAATCCCTCCCCGTGGGGAAAATGATTTTTTAAAATACTGGCTGTTTTGGAAAAGGGTTCCAGGGGTAGCAAAAAGTGGCCATTTTGTAGGGGTGAAAAATAATAATACAACTGCGAAATTCCACAGTGCTGTGGGGGCCACAGGTGACCCATGAGTCATGTGTTGCTCTGATGTACAATTTCCTCCATTCCTCTGCAGCCATTCCTTAGAGATTAACTCAGGAAGGAACTGCATAACTGTCTCCAATGATAGTAGAAGTCATTCAATGTAGACTGTAGAAATACAAAGCGTTCCCCAGCACGATGCCTTCCATATATCTTGGGCTGCTCCACTGAGGATGATTGGAGATTGGAGTTGAAGTTAAAAAGTTCTGGACTTCTTGTGTGAAAAAGAATGATTGTGTAAAAAGTCCTTAGATACATAGCTGTCATTTAACGTTAACAAAGGAGAAAGGTTCATGGCAGCACCAGGCTAAAGTAGGTCAGGGCGGGTCCTCACAACCACCCTAGCCAGGGGTGAAGAGAGTTGTTATCCAGCACCATCTGGAGATCCACAGGTTCCCAGCTGTGAGCCAGGTCAAATCAAACCATGCTTCTCTCTGCAGTAGGTGGACTAGCTAGCTGGTGCCTGGAGAAGGAAACCGGTTTTCTCCATGAGGATGATGTTTATGGTTGTTCAGCAGGTTTCTCCAGCTTCTTTCACCCAACTGACATGTCCTCCATGGAATATGTATGGAAGCCATACTTATTCTCTGACTAGCATTACTACACAACACTGTTTGGTGTGGAGCGGTGTTCACATCCCCAGAAGCAACCAGAAGCTCTGTGTCTAGGTGATTATACACTCTGACAGAAAATGCCAGCAACATCCTCTGTGTCTTAGCAGTTTTTATTCGTGCCTCCCATTGAGTGATTCTGATTGCCACCTCTTCTTTCCAGGCACTGCCCTCCCAAACCCAGAAGACACAATTGCCTGTTGCCAAGGTCAAAAGGAAGAAGGCAAAGGGGCTGTTTGACTGATGCAGGTGTCAACTCACAGAGACAAGGATAATGTGGTTGCTTTGAACACTCTTCTGTCTTCTGGGAACATCTGGAAGGGAACCATACCTCCCACTCCAGCACAAAGCTGTGCCACCCTGCTCATTTTGCCATGCCTAAGTATGGTGGCAACGAAATGTCCCAGTGTACACTACAGCTGTCTGGCCTGCTGTCTTGCCCTTCCACACCTCTGCTGGAAGCCTAGAAGTAATGCTTGCAAATAACAAGCAGAGGGAGGAAAGTGTGCAAAGCATGGGGTCCAAATGGTGATAGTTGTAGGAACTCCTGTGCCTGCCTCATCTGTAGAATCTGTATCTTGTTTTGATAATGGATGTGTAATAAAGAGCTTGGCTGTAAGAGTGTCCTATTCAGTAGAGTGCCTTCTGTGCAAAGTAGGATCATGTGCATACATTTGCTCCCCTGAAATCCTTCCTTTCTTTTTATGTTCATCTACAGCCTTCTTGGTGATGCAGAAAGTTTCAAACGTGTTTAGCCTACCAAAGCAGGGTGTAGGCTAAGATTGTCCTGGTCTGCTGTCTGGTTGGCATGGTCCTCTAACCGCTGCACAGGACTCTTGATTCAGGTTCCCTTTCTTGTTGCTTCACCCAGCACATTCTGCTCGCTCGCGCGCGCTCTCTCTCTCTCTCACACACATTCTCTCTCTCTATTCTGATTCAAACAAGTTTACACAAAGCTTATTTACTCCTGGATTCAGTGCTTGCAGCTTTCTCATTAAAAATATTTGCTTTTTTAGGCAAAAGATCTGTTCTAAATATCTAATGCTTAGTCTTGGAAACCTCAGCCTTTGCCAATGAGACTTCTCCTTCTCATATGCCTGGGGATGGGATATAACCCTGTTGCCTAAGGCAGGAACCCAAATGTCCCCACCCCTTGGTAGTTAAAATACAGTAATGAATTAAATGCTTTGCAATTTTTACTCATACCACACTGCCTCCCTCTCCGCTCCTTCCAGCCAGCAAGCTTCACTATATCAAGGCGCTAACCAAGGCAGCAGCATATCAAAGCTCCACTTTATGCCTAGAGTTGTAGGACTCAGTAAACTATATAGTACAACTGGAGCACAAGCTTCTGGCTTCATGCTCCTCATACCTACTTCTAGGTACCAATGGTAAAGCATAACTGCATGTCCTGGACCTGAACCAGGGAAATGACAGGGTACAATTACAGTGATAAACCACATTGTAGGGCAAGACATGGAGGAAGGAGGCTTCTGTAGCAAGAGATGTTAAAACAGCCTTCCCCAGCATGGTGCCCTCCAGGTCTGTTGGACTGGTCTGACTGGGCTTATGGAAGCTGTAGTCCAATACCACATCTGCTGTCTGTCTTATTGGAAGAGGCTGGGTTGAATAATTATCTATCTCCCAGTGCTCACCCCCAACTTTGGTCAAGGTGTCTACCTAAGCCATCCTTCAGCGCCACTCCCATTCAGAATAGACTTAATTCCTCTTTCTTTTTCTCTCCAGTTAATCTGGAATAATACATCTCCAGGTTTGTTAACATGACATCAATATGAGGGACTTCAGAAATTAATCATGCAGTTCTGGATGTATCTATGTATATATATTGTTCTTTCTTGTGCTAGCATTTTGTGTTTTGTCCACCAAATCATTTCAACATATGCAAAAGTTCAAATATAAAGAGAAAGACAGAGACATTATACTGTGCTGAGTGTAGTGACTGATGTATTAAAATAGCATTGCCATTTTATACCATTACAGAATTTTAAGGATGGTTTTGCAATTCAGGGTCCTGACTCTATTTTTGAAACTCACTCTGAGTTTCTGTATAGCACAAAACTACATGTTCTGGTAGAGCAGACCAGCTGTAGAAAAGACCTGTGTCTGAAATCCTTGTTAGCCACCGCCAGTTAATACCAGTCCTGTTCACACATAGCAGTTAAGTCAGAAATCCTGGCTTCATTAAGTCAAATGGGGACAAACTGTGTGTTTCTACCAGCAGCCCTTTCACTCTGATTCCACTCCTCATGTGAGTAAGTAAACAAGCCAGACAGATAACATCTAAACCTGCACTGAAACCAAGGATGTAAATCAGCTTTAAACTGGTGCTTGTTGCTCACTTACAAATCTCTGTGGCTAAACCTTATTCTGGATGTTACTTGATTTTTTACAAATCAAAATGCTATTTTGGGATGCATTAATAGAAATACTACTTTGAAATCATGAGAGGTAGTAGTTTCCCTATACTCCTCACTAGTAAGATCTCATCTGGAATACTGTGTTCAATTCTGGGCATCCAATTCTGGGCATCAGGATTTAAGAAAGATGCAGAAAAATTAGAAAATGTCGAGAGGACAGCAACAAAAATGATCCAGGGTTTGGAACCTCTGTCCTCTGAAGAGAGACTGAGAGAACTGGGTATGTTCAGCCTTGAAAAGAGAAGAATGAGGGAAGGCATGGTATCACTCTTCAAGTACAGTGGTACTTCCACTCACAAATGCCTCAGTTCACAACCAAATCTGGTCACAAACAGAAATTTCAGAAAAAGTTTGCCTCAGGTCGTGATCTCTGCCTGTCTTCCCTGTACAGGCATGATCACAGTCGTGCTCAGGGGATGCGGGGATTTGGCTGCGATCTTGGTTGTTCTTTGTTACTTTGCTTCACATTTTTGGGATTTAAAAAATAGTTAAAGAATGGATTAACCTTATTTACATTGAACCTTATGGGGAAATTTGACTTGGCTCATGACCAATTTGGGTCACAACCAGAGTCCTGGAACGGATTACGTTCGTGAGCCAAGGTGTCACTGTACCTCAAAGGCTGTCACAAAGAGGAAGGTCAAGTTCTCACTGATACTAGAATGCAGGACAGGGAATAATCAACTCAAGTTGTGATGGCCCAGGTTCAGGTTAGATAACAGGAAGTTTCCTCACTGTCAGAGCAATATGACAGTGGAAACAGTCGCCTAGAGAGGTTGTGGGCAATCTCACACCAGAAGCATTCAAAAAGAAATTGGACCATCATCTGAGTGGGATGGCATGAATTTGTTACCTGCAACAGCAGGGGGTTGTACCTGGTGGCCTTCTTGGTCCCTTCCAACTCTACTATTCTATAATTCTATACTAAGGCCAGTTCCTATGTTCAGTCTTGATTCTTGAAATATTAGCCAGTGCTCTTCCTCAGGAAACTGGCTTCTGCAAAGGCAAGTCATGTCTCAGTAACCTTTCAGTGTTCTTTGAGAGTACCAATAAACATGTAGATAGGAATGGTTTATCCATTCTCACAATGAAGGGATATTAATAGTGGAGTCCCCCAAGGATCTGTATTAGGATTTGTGCTTTTGAACTTATTCATAAATCATCTGAGCTGAACAGTGAAGTGACCAAGTTTGCTGATGCCACCACATTATTTAGGATGATTAAAACAAAAAGGAATTGTGAGGAGCTCAGAAGGACCTCTCCAGACTGGGGGAGTGGGCATCAAAATGGGAAATGTGGCTCAATGTAAGCAGGTGTAAAATGATGCATGTTGTGGTTTTAAAAAATGCTAATTCTCTATAAATACTGATGGGAACTGAGATGGGGCTGACTAACGAAGAAAGAGATCTTGGGTCTGTGGTGGATAGCTTGCTGAAAATATTGACCCAGTATGTAGCTGATGTTCAAATTTTTAAGTAATTGGAGACATGGTAGAAGTATGTAAGATTACGAAAGGTGTAGAGAAAATGGACAATAATTTCTTATAATACTAGGGCCTGGGTTCACCCAATGTAGCTGAATGGTGGGAGATTAAGGACAGAAAAGAGGAAGTTTGCATAATGCCTACTTAATTTAAGGAATTTTCTACCAAAAGATGTAGTGATGACTACCAGGTTGAACAGCTTTTAAAGGGGATTATGCAAATTCATAGAGAATTCTGTTATTATTTTTCCCGATTACATTTCTATATTGTCATTCATTCATTCATTCATTCAGGCTTTTATATTCCACCCAATGTCTCAGGGCGGGATATTTCTTCCTCTTTCTTGCAAGGAAACCAAGGTTGCTAACAACGACTACTAGTCATGAGGGCCTCCAGTAGCAGCAGCAGCAGCATCCCCCCCCCCCCCGATACCAAATACTAGGAACGTAAGTGAGAAGATGCTGTTGCTTTCATGCCCTGCTTGTTCATCCTTGAATGAACGTGTCATTTCGCTGCTTGGTCAGTGAGCAGCAGGTGCATTTGACTGGCATACTTCAGTCACTACATCTAGAAAAATCACTTGCTCCCAGCCACCACATACTTTCCTTCTTTGAAAAGTTAAGCATCTATTTTCAAGTCCCTCTCTCTTTATTTGCCTCCATCTGATCTGACTCAACTGCTGCTCTCAGAACGTTAATCTTTGCAGTTGTGCTCTGATGGAAGTTAATAAATATTAGAACATACAACTCAGACATCACAAACTAAGTTTTCAGAGTGTCTGTGTGAGGAAGACAGAGGAGAGAAATGTACAGACTGAATTTGAACTTGACGATATCTGCCCCTCTGTAGGTTCAGCTACTTGTCCTGGGCTGTAAACACCACAGGACCATGAGACTATCACACAAGCATGGAGATTGAGACATTTATCTGAACTTGGACTCTTTTAGATCCACCACCAGCACCAGCTCTGCCATCATTATTATTTAAACATTGGACACACATCCAGCAGCCACATATTTGAAACCATAGAGAATCTGGCTAGAGCTGCATGTGTGTGTTGGGTATCACGCACAGCTTGTTGTGCCTGAATCCCATGCTAGCTCTTTGCTTGCTCTTGACTCAACTTGTCAGCCTTCAGTTTTCACACGTTTCAGCATTTCAAAATGCATTAAAGGTCTTAACCTTTTCAGGAAAAAAAGAACATTTTGCAAGGTATGGCGCTATAAACAAACACACTTCATTTATGCTGATCACAGAAAGACACCTTTAGGCCCATAAGCCTCTTTCTGTCTTGTTCTGTTCACTTCTGCCTCTCTTCCTCTGCCATTTTTCCATAGTGCCATTCTCTCCACACACCGCTTTCATTCTAGAAATTTTTATGTATGGCCTCATTGCTTCAGTTTTTCTGACTCTCCTAGACAAGGCTTGGTATTCTGATAGACCTTACTGTGTACCTGGAGTCATGTGCCAAGGAACAAGAGTCATTTTTCATCTTTTTTCTGGGATGAAGGAGCCTGCAACTCTCTGTGAACCTTGGCGTACTTGAGAGAGCTGTTGTAATTTCAGTGCCCTGAGCACAAGGCCCCAATCTCTGGCAGGGATGAAACATGCCTTGCCCTTCTCTTTGTCAGATACCAAAGAGGGAAATACCACCCCTGTCTCCACACAGCTCTGTCCTTCCCACTTGTTTTTTGCGTGCAGCT